CCCGCTGACAGAGTGAGACTCTGCCTAAAAAAAAAAAAAAAGAAAGAAAAGAAAAACTAAAGGTGTTTAGTTTTTCACACTCTAAAATGTGAGAAAGAGTTCAGCCACAGCAACTTGTACTTTCAGTATTAGAGGACTCACCTGGGGAAAAAACCTGATAAAAATGCTCTGGGTACAGGAAGAGCTTTCGTGAGAATTTGAACCTCATCCAATATCAGGAAATTCACAGCAGGGAGAAGCCATGTGCACCTACAACATGCGGGAAGAGGGTTTCTGTGGGTTCAACACTCCTCAGGCACTAGAAGGAAAGGTCCTTGTTGCAGAAAAATCCTAGACCCGCTCCCAGTGGGAAGAGGACTGAATTCACAACCTTACAGTGATTGAATATCTCAACACCCACACTAGGGAGAAATTCTGCGAACATCCTGATTAAGTCAGTTTCAGCTCCAGTTTCAGCAGTCAGGGGAGACTTCACAAAGCAGACATCCTTTAAATGTCCAGAAAGTAGGGATGGTGCTGGCCAGAGAGCTATTATAGATGGCTGAAGGAGGTAGACCCACAAGCCAGGAAAACCTCTCCATTGGGACTTTTTCACTCTGGAACTTTGGCCCTCAAAGCATCAGATTCTTGCAGCTGGACCCAGAATATTCCCTTTGCTGTCTGCTTCAGGTTAGCCCCTGGTGTGTGTCAATTATCTGTAAGGTTTAATAAAGAATTTCAGGGTCAAGCAGACTTGGTCCGCATCCTGGCTCTGTCACTTACTGGGTTTGTGATATTAGGTGGAGCAATTAATTTCCCTGAGCCTCATTTTGTTAACTTGCTTAAGATGGGATTAATATAGCACCCACTTCATAGGTGATGAGAATTAATGAGAGGATGAATGTAAGCACATGGTGAGCATTCAGTGAATGAGGTTGCTTTCTAACCTTCTTTTCCTTTGGCTGACCCATTTCCCAGAATCCACAAGCTCATGGTCCCTTTGAGATCACCAGCGTGAGCACTACAGATGGAGAAGTGTTGTTTTGTGTGCAGCTGTTCAAACGGTGGCTCTGATGTTATATAACTTTCCCATGGTTTAGGAGGCTGCAGAGAATAAAGCACAAAGCTGGGGAAGACTCTTTCTGGGTCTTGTCCAAGGACCCCCAAGAAGACACACAAATATTCTCCTGTTTCTGTCCTTGGTCAGTCCCTTTGAGTAGCAGTTCTCGTGCTAGCAGTTCTGGTGCTAGCCTGAAGTGAGACAATGATGGAACATTATAGCCATGTTAGGTCATCAGAAACAACCTCTTTGTTTTGCAGAGGAGGCAGGGTTACCAGGTTTAGCAAAAATACAGAATGCCAATTATATTTGAATTGCAAATACACAACAACAACAACAAAATGTTTTTACCATAAGTATATCCCAATGTAAGCATTTTTACCATAAGTATATCCCAATGTAAGCTTTTTTTTTTTTTTTTTTTTTTTTTTTTTTTTTTTTTTTTTTTTTTTTTTTTTTTTTTTTTTTTTTTTTTTTTTTTTTTTTTTTTTTTTTTTTTTTTTAGAGACAGCAAGCATCTCACTCTGTTGCCCAGGCTGGAGTGCAGTGGCGTGATAAATGCTAACTGCAGCCTCAAACTTGTAGGCTTAAGGGATCCTCCAGCCTCAGCCTCCCAAAGGACTCGGATTACAGGTATGAACCACCAAACCTGCCTACTTCCTGATTTTATCTGACAACCCTGAGAGGACAGCTAGATGTTGAGGACAGCTAGATGTCAAGCGGGAAAGCAACTGGCTGGCTCACACAGCCAGCTAGGTCTATGGTGGTGCCCTAGTCACAAACACATACGCCCCAGCTTTTAGGTTTTTAAATATTTATTTGTTTTTTGAGACATCTTGCTCTGTCACCCAGGCTGGAGTGCAGTGGCGCAATCTCAGCTCACTGCAACCTCCCTAGTAGCTGGGACTACACATGCGTGCCAGCACTGCCCAGCTAATTTTTGCATTTTTAGTAGAGACAGGGTTTCCCCATGTTGGCCAGGCTGGTCTCAAACTCCTGACCTCAAGTGATCCCCCCACCCTGGCCTCCCAAAGTGCTGGGATTACAGATGTGAGCCATCACAACCGACCAGTTTTTAATTTTTAATTAAGGTGAATGCTTTCTGAGCTGGGTGCCTCTCATCCCTTGTCTGTTATACAAGACAGAACTACAGATTATGGGTCTCTTAAGAGCAAAGAATGACAGAACACCTACAGGGCACAGAAGAGATGGAAGCAGGGATTCAGCTTCAGGATGCTTCTCCAAATGAGGGTGACCGGGGCGGGACATTTCACTGCTCTAAGGCTCAGTTTCTGAACTATCAAACGGGCACAATGGGGCCTATTTCCAAAGGGTTACTTTGAGGATCAAGGGAGAAGAGCAATGTCCAACATGCTCATTCCTTTAAAAATTGCGGAGCACATTTTGTGTACGTGCTGTTTTTATTGTTACCCATGAAGACCCCGGGGAAGCTTTGGTTGCAAGGAGAGCTGCGAGCTGCCCTCAAGCTTTCCCATTCACCCCACCCACCAGGGGATTTCGGCTAAATTCCTGGCCTGAGGCACAAGGAGGACCCAGCACTCAGCCCCATCCCGTCCCATCCTGATTTACAGGAACTCACACCAGCGATCAATCATCCTTAATTTGTAACGGGGCAGTGTCCTGGGCCAGCCAATAGCTAAGACTGCCCCCCCACACCCCACCCTCCCTGACCCTGCGGGGCTCTCTAGTCAGTCTGCACTGGAGCTGCCTGGTGACCAGGAGTTTGGAGTAGGTTTGGTGCTGGGCAAGGGTGGGGAGTAGGGTGGAAAGCGTGGGGTGAAGAGGTCCAGGGAGGGGGTCTCCTCACCCCCGCCTTCCTCCTCCCTTTGATCTCGGTGGTCTCCATAGGTTTGCTTCCACCTGGGACTTCTGCCTTCTCCTCCCCCAGCCCCTCCCGCCTCAGGCCTGTTGTGTTCAGCCCCTCTGGACTTCCCCTCCCCCACGCCTCTGGCCTCATTGTTTGGTTAAAGCAGGACCCCCCGCCCCCAAACCTCCCCTCCGACTGAACAGATGGACGGAGACCCGGGCCCGCGGGGAGAGGAAGGGCCAGCCGGTGCCGGGAAAGGGAAGCGGTTTGGGGAAAACAAAACAGAGGGAGGAGCCAGGGAGAAGGTGGCCCCGAGAGGGAGGAGGAGGGAATTCGCTGAGAGGGGCTGGGGCTTGGGATGGAATGGGGGCGGGCCCCGCGCGGGGAGGGGGTGGGGGCCCCCCCGGGCTCCCTGGGCTCCCCGGCTAGGAGCTGGCTCCGATGCTGGCTGGCTCCGCAGGTCCGCTGACGTCGCCGCCCAGATGGCCTCCAGGCTGACCCTGCTGACCCTCCTGCTGCTGCTGCTGGCTGGGGTATGTGGTCCCTTGTGGGATGGGGGACGGGGGTGGAGACGGGGAGGAGGAATGGCGCGGGGTGGGGGCGGTGGCTGAGGATTAACCCTTCAGGCTCCAGAGAATGAGGAGCTCTCCTTTTGGGATCAGCGAGTGTGATCCTTGCACCCGCACTCGTAGATGGTGGAAAGAGCTCAGGACTCAGACAGATGCAGGTTCTAATCTTGGCGGGCCACGCAGGAGCTGCGCTGCGTGGTCTTGAGCAACTCACTTTTCCCAGCCTGCTCCTCCTGATTTATAAAATGTTGAATAAACAGATCCCACCCTGTCCCCCAAATGGGCTTGGCAGGAGGATCACATAGGGCAAAGAGATGGGGAACATTTTGTGATATCAAAGGAAGAGTTTGCTGTAGAAAAGAGCTGTGGGAGGTTTGGCTGCTGTGACACAGGCTGTGGTCCCAGGCCAGGGCCTGTGAAGACAGGGAGGAATGGTAGCAAACATACCTGGGTCTGGGTGGGCGTCAATAGCAGCGAGAGGTCCCAGTGGTCTGGTAGGTCGTGGACTAGAAATAAGGCTAAGAAGTACGGGAGATGTGCAAGTTGGCATCACATACTCAGCAGATGATGTAGCTATGAGCAGAGAGTTGGGACTCAGAGACCTCGTTTTGACCCCTAGCTGTTTCTCCCATTTCTGTGAGACCCTGGACTAGTTAGTGGCTCACACCTGTAATCCCAGCACTTTGGGAGGCTGAGGCTGGCGGATCACAAGGTCAGAGTTCGAGACCATCCTGGCCAACATGGTGCAACCCCGTCTCTACTAAAAATACAAAAATTGGCTGGGCGCAGTGGCATGTACTTGTAGTCCCAGCTACTTGGGAAGCTGAGGCAGGACAGTCGCTAGAACCCGGGAGGCAAAGGTTGCAGTGAGCTGAGATCGCACCACTGCATTCCAGCCTGGGCAACAGAGGAAAACTCTGTCTCAAAAAAAAAAAAAGTGTCAGCATCAGTTTCTCTACCTCTGAAATGGGGCTAATGCATGGTTTCTGAGCTGAGGATCTGTTGACATTGGGGCTGGATAATTCACTGCTGAGGGGCTACCCTTTACATCTTAGGATGTTTTGTAGTATGCTAGATTCTGGTAGCATCTTCCCTGCTGTCTCCCTATGACAACCAAGAATGCCTCCAGAGTCAAAATACCCCTGGGAGTCAAAACTGTTTCAGAGCCGCTGGCCTATACTACTTCTCTCTCCCTCCCTCCCTTCTTTCCCTTTCTAATGTGTATTGTTTTTCCACACCCACCAATGGGTCGCAACCCACAATTTGAAAATTTACTGTTCTAAAGCAAGGGCCGCAAGTTCTAATGTCCGTATTAGCCAAGCAAGTGAGTCAAACAGGTAGATATTTACAGGAAATTACAAGAACATAGATAAATGGCAATTGACACTCAGCTTCACTGCTTGGAAAACAGCTTCCTACAGGGCAGTAATTGGTCAGAGATTACAGAGTCCCTGACTGTCCCTCCTCTTCTACAGAGCACATTCCTTTGCACCTCCAATGTCACCATGGATTGCCCCTTCTCTGAGGAATTAGTGGTGGTGGTTCTAAGACAGGCTGCTCACCCACCACACTGTCTCAGAAATTACTCTCTGGTACAGGACATTTTCCACATCCCCTTCTCTTCTTGCTTTGAGTATTTTAGGGGACTGTGGCTCATAGAAAGAAAAAATGAACCTCAGTTTCTTGAACCACAGGATGCAGCCTCCTCAAATCAAACTGCTGCCAGCTCCAGCTCCAGTGATCCAGAGAGTTCACAAGGGAGAAGTGAAGGGAAGAAAACAGTGGCAGATACCTCCAAGAGTCCATTAATTGAACCCATCCTGGCAACTTCCAGCCTGCCGACAACCAACTCAACAACCAATCCAGCCATGCCAACAACCAACTCAACAACCAATTCAGCCACCAAAATAACAGCTAGCACCACTGATGAACCCACCACCGAACCTAGCCCCCAACCCACCCAATCAACTACCCAGCTTCCCACAGATTCTCCTACCCAGCCCACTACTGGGCCCTTCTGCCCAGGACCTGTTACTCTCTGCTCTGACTTGGAGAGTCATTCAGCAGAGGCCATGTTGGGGGATGCTTTGATAGATTTCTCCCTGAAACTCTACCACGCCTTCTCAGCAATGAAGAAGGCAGAGACCAACATGGTTTTTTCCCCATTCAGCATCGCCAGCCTCCTCACCCAGGTCCTGCTCGGTAAGACCCTGACTGAATTCTTTCCACGTCATTTGCTCGACACTCCCGTGATGGTCACCAACCCAGACACTTACAAAACCATGCCTCTGGGAAGAGCTGTAAAAATGGGTTATATATAGTGGTGGGGTAGAGCGATGTATCCTTTGATTCTTGAACACTCCATCATTTAACAATGATTTAATAGGCACGATTGCTTGTAAAACCCTATGACTGTACAAGAACATGTAAAATAAGGTCCCAGCCACTAACCATGTTTCACAGCAAGGAGAGGTAATAAGAAAGATGAAATCGGGTGCTGTAGCTCATGCCTGTAATCCCAACACTGGGAGGCCAAGGTGGGTGGATCACCTGAGGTCAAGAGTTTGAGACCAGCCTGGCCAACATGGTGAAACCCCATCTCTACTAAAAATACAAAAATCAGTGGGGTATGCTGGTGCATGCCTGTAATCCCAGCTACTTGGGCAGCTGAGGCAGGAGAATTGTTTGAACCCAGGAGGTGGAGGTTGCCATGAGCTGAGATCACACCACTGCAATCCAGCCTGGGCGACAGAGCGAGACTGTCTCAAAAAAGAAAAAAAAAAAAGATGAAATCATCAGAGATAGACCTAGAATAGATTGTGGCACTATGGCTTTCTAGCTCTGTGACCTTAGGCAGATCACTGTAAGCACGCTGAGCCTTGACTCCTCTTGTGTGAAATAGCGATGATGCTATCTACCTCAAAAGATTAAGAAGCAGATAGCCTAGTGCCTGACTTAGTGGGAGGTCAAAAAAATGTGGATCCTCTGCCATCCTGAGGGATTACTGTCAAGTCCCATTGGGTAATTACCCTAGGAATGGCACAAACAAATGACTACAAGCAGTGGAGAGTGAGCTATTACTCCCCAGGGGGAATCCTAAGAAGGCTACAGAATCTTTCTTGGCCAGGCACGGTAACTCACATCTGTAATCCTGGCACTTTGGGAGGCCAAGGCAGGAGTTTAAGACTAGCCTGGCCAAAGTGTTGAAACTCTGTCTCTACTAAAAATACAAAAATTAGCCAGGCATGGTGGTGTATGCCTGTAGTCTCAGCTACTTGGGAGGCAGAGGTGGGAGGATCCTTTGAACCTGGAAGTTGGAGATTGCAGTGAGCTGAGATTGCACCACTGCACTCCAGCCTGGGCAACAGAGCAAGACTCTGTCTCAAAAAAAAAAAAAAAAAAAAAAAAGAAAAGAAACACTTCCAGCTCAGATGATCTGTGATCCCCTCCAAAGCACAGAACACCCTCCATTCCAGCCTGGTCCCCAACCCTCATTCCCAAGAAACATCCCCAGCTCATCCTGCAGGTACCCTTAATCTCTGCCGTTTGTTGCAGGGGCTGGGGACAACACCAAAACAAACCTGGAGAGCGTCCTCTCCTACCCCAAGGACTTCACCTGTGTCCACCAGGCCCTGAAGGCCTTTACAACCAAAGGAGTCACCTCAGTCTCTCAGATCTTCCACAGCCCAGGTGAGTACCCAGGAAGGGGCAGTGTCTGCAGAGAAAGGTCCTGAGAGGACTCTGAAGGGGGTCCCAGCACTGGGGAAAGGACAGGGGGAATATTGGAGCTCGAGTATCAGGGGTGGACTGCAGAGCAGGTGAAGACCTTGGCAGGAGCATCAGGTGACTCCAGGAACTGGATTGTTGTTCTAGTGAGACCTTAGGCAAGTCTCTTGCATTCATTAACTCCTTTAGAATAAAAATAACTGGGCAGGGGCGGTGATTCACGTCTGTAATGCTAAGCACTTTGGGAGGCCAAGGCCTTCAAGACCAGAATGGGCAACGTGGCAAAACCCAGTCTGTATTTGAAAAAAAAAAAAAAATTTGGGTACAGGGTGGGGCTGGGCATGGTGGCTCATGCCTGTAATCCCAGCACTTTGGGAGTCCAAGGCGGGCAGATCACCTCAGGTCAAGAGTTCGAGACCAGCATGGCTAACATAATGAAACCCTGTCTCTACTAAAAATACAAAAATTAGCCAGCTGTGGTAGCGCGTGCATGTAATCCTAGCTACCCAAGGAGGCTGAGGCAGAAGAATTGCTTGAACCTAGGAGGCTGAGGCAGAAGAATTGCTTGAACCTGGGAGACTGAGGCTGCAGTAAGCTGAGATCTCACCACTGCACTCCAGCCCAGGTGACAGAGCAAGACTCCCATCTCAAAAACAAAACAAAACAAAACAAAACAAAAACCCACCATTCTCCTGCTTTAAAACGTTTGATAACCATTGAACTAATCTACCCACCTCCCTTTTTTAAAAAAGGGAAACACCTTTTAATGTGCAGTTTTTGTTGTTGTTGTTGTTGTTGTTTAAAGCTACAAAAGCAATACTCAGGTCTGGTGCAGTGGTGCCTGTAATTCCAACACTGAGAGGCCGCCATAGGAGGATTGCTTGAGGCTAGAATTTCGAGACTAGCCTCTGGGCAACATAGAGAGATCTCATGTCTACAAAAAATTTTAAAAATTATCTGGGTGTGGTGGTGCATGCCTGTAGTTCCAGCTACTGAGGACTGAGGCAGAAGGATTGCTAAAGCCAAGGAATTCGAAGTTAGAGTGAGCTATGTTTATGCCACTGTATTCCAGCCTGGATGACAGAGTAAGACCCTGTCTCTAAAAAATAAAAATAAATTTAAAAAATAAAAATAAAAAACAAAAATAAATTTAAAAAATTCACCTCTCACCCCATCATCTAAAAAATACCCCCTTCTAGATGTGGGAAAAATATGACTCAGAGGAGTTCAAGAAATGTTGCACTTATTTATTACTTACAAAGCTATAACTCAGCTTTATCTGCTGTCTGGCTAGGTTGGAGAAAAATGTAACAACATTCAATATGTTATGGCTTCTATTCCCATCTAGCTGCACCCTGGAGCTGTGCCAAGGAAGGTTCTTGGTCTTATGTTGTACTTAGGCATCAGCAAAGCCTGAGAAAATATCTTTTTTGTTTGTTTGTTTGAGACGGAATCTCTCTCTGTCGTCCAGGGCTGGAATGCAGTGGCACGATCTCAGCTCACTGCAACCTCAGCCTCCCGGGTTCAAGTGATTCTCCTGCCTCAGCCTCCCAAATAGCTGGGATTACAGGTGCTGGGATTATTATAGCTGGGATTACCTGCCACCACACCCAGCTAATTTCTGTATTTTTAGTAGAGATGGGGTTTCACTATATTGGCCAGGCTGGTCTTGAACTCCTGGCCTCAAATGATCCCCCTCCTTGGCCTCCCAAAATGCTGAGATTACAGGTGTGAGCCAACATGCCCAGCTGGGAATATATCTTTAATCTACTTAGTCCTGGAAAAATTATCTTTTGAATGATTTTTTTTTTTTTTTTTTTTTAAAGATGGGGCTTCACCATGTTGGTCAGGCTGGTCTTGAACTCCCGACCTCAGGTGATTTGCCCACCTTGGCCTCCAAAGTGCTGAGATTACAGGCATGAGCCACCTCGCCCGGCCAAATGCTTTTTTTTTTTTCAGTGGACCGAAGGTTTTTGGAGAGCAAAAGTCAGGAAGTTTTGTCACAAACTTCCACCAAGGTCAGGAAACAGAGTCTATTCCATGCTGAATTAAGGACAAAAAGAGGGAAAATAGAGGCAAATGGAAGTTAATATCTCCTGTTTTTTTTTTTGAGATGGACCCTTGCTCTTGTCGCCCAGGCTGGAACTGCAATGGCATATTGTGACTCACTGCAACCTCCATCTTTCAGATTCAAGTGATTCTCCTGCCTCAACCTCCCAAGTAGCTGGGATTACTGGCACGCACCACTATGCCTGGCTAATTTTTTGTACTTTTAGTAGAGATGGGGTTTCATCACGTTGGTCAGGCTGGTCTGGAATTCCTGACCTCGTGATCTGTCCGCCTTGGCCTCCCATAGTGTTGGGATTACAGGCGTGAGCCACCGCGCCCAGCCGGAAGTTAATATCTCAAAAAGATTATCTTGCTGAGCCATAGTCACATAGCAAGCGGAGGCAGCAGGGGCCCAGGGCTACTTCTCCTGTTCTTGGTTCCGGGTTTGCCTTCTTTGAGCTTCATTGCCACATCTGTAAGAGGAGTGGACGGGACCCTGCTCCGCCATGCTATGTTCACTAGAGTGAGCAGACAGAGCCATGGGAGGCACACTAACTCTCAAATCTTGCTCGTGGAAGGGAACGACATGTTTAGGAGTCTCATGCCTCCCTTTCTCGACATACCCCCAGACCTGGCCATAAGGGACACCTTCGTGAATGCCTCTCAGAGCCTGTACGGCAGCAGCCCCAGAGGCCTGGGCAATAACAGTGATGCCAACTTGGAGCTCATCAACACCTGGGTGGCCCAGAATACCAACAACAAGATCAGCCAGCTGCTAGACAGCCTGCCCGTTGACACCCGCCTTGTCCTCCTGAATGCTGTCTACCTGAGTGGTAAGGGGGCACTTGGCCAGTTGGTCTTCCCATTTTGGGTCTTTCTTCCCTTCCTGGCTTCAAACCCTCGCCTAACCCCAAGCTCTACAATCCAATCTCAATGTCCCTGCCCCACTCTCTGCTAACAAGGCTTTTAGCTCCTCTTCATCCTTTCCCTACCTGCATTAGAGCAACCCTCCCCACCTCTTCCCTCTAGCCAAGTGGAAGACAAAATTTGATCCCACCAAAACCAGGATGGAACCCTTTCACTTCAAAAACTCAATTATAAAAGTGCTCATGATGAACAGCAAGAAGTACCCTATGGCCCATTTCATTGACCAAACTTTGAAGGCCAAGGTAAGTTCTTGACCTTTCCTTCTCCTGTGTGAAACCCACTTGAGTCTCCTGACTTTTTTTTGCTGTGGTCCCATCATTTTGGGGCACACGCATACAAATTCATCATTTCTACCCCTTCCATCTGTATTTTCACTCTATCTTTTCTCCTTCTCCTTTCTCTAGCCTTGGCCAAGGCATTGTATATTTTAGGCTGGAAACAGGATTCTCAAGTTTCTTCATGTACCTCTCCTACATTAAATGGCAAAATGTGAGTCGTTTCTTTTTCCAGTCAACTCCTCAGAAGACCCTGGTGGCTTAACAAGTCCTGTGTGTATGTGTGTACCTTGTACAGCATGCCTATGCATGTGTACACGTGTATAAGTATATCCTTGTACATGCATATATGTGGTAAGTGCGTGTGCGCACATGTGTTAAATGGCTTAAGTGCCTTAGCAGAAATAGAACAATATAAATTGATGAGTGGGGAGGGAGAGAAGACGAAATATGGAACCCAGTGGATTCCAATTAGTATTTTACCTCATGCCCAGTTACCAGCTGTTTCCACCTTGTTAGGACGACAAAACACAGACCTATGGGGTAGAAAACAATGAGAGACAATGTCTCAGGACCTGGCCAAGAAACAAAGGATCTGTTCTTGGAACGTGCCAGGCTTGGTTCCACATTGGGAGCTTTCCTTAGCTTTCCTCTCTGCCTGGATCCCTCTTGACTCAGATCGTCACAAAGCTTGTTCCTTGTGGTCAATTGGGTGTCAGCTCAGAGGTCACCTTGGTGGAAAAGTCTTCTCGCCTTTAAAGTAGCCTCCTTCTCACCCTGTGATATCAGTGCTGTTTTATTGTATTCATGATACCCATCACCATCTGAAATTATATCATTTATTTGCTTCGGATATTGTCTGTCTCACTAAGATATTGTCTCTCTACTTGAATACAGGGACCTGTCTTGTTTCTGTATCTGGAGCGCCTAGAACAATGCCACCTGTAATAGGTGCTCATTCAGTGTTTGCTGAATCAATGAATGAATGAAATAGAGGGTGCCAAAGGGAGCTACTCAATTAGTAAAAGTGGCGGGAAGACTTCATTGGGAGGATTATTTTTCGAGACAGGGTCTCACTCTGTCACTCAAGCTGGAGTGCAGTGGCACGATCTCAGCTCACTGCAACCTCTGCCTCCCAGGTTCAAACAATTCTCATGTCTCAGCCTCCCAGGTAGCTGGGACTACAGGCACCTGCCACCACACCTAGCTAATTTTTGTATTTTTAGTAGAGGCGGGGTTTCACCATGTTAGCCAAGCTGGTCTCAAACTCCTGACATCAAGTGATCCACACCCTCGGCCTACCAAAGTGCTGGGATTAGAGGCGTGAGCCACAGTGCCCGGCCAAGGAGTTTATTTATTTATCTACCCATCCATCCATTCCTATCTAATGTATTTGTTCATTCATGACTCATTTAGCAGAACCAGAATAGCGTGGATAAGGCACAGAAGAGTGAATATATGTGACAGGTCCAGGGCATTGTTCAAATTCAAGATATGTGGGGGGAGGTATAAATAGGAGTTTTTTTAATCAATTGGAATAGTTAATTAAAGCCACGTATGTTAGGTAGAAAATAGGAATTAAGAACAAGTGGGCTGGGTGCAGTGGCTCACGCCTATAATTCCAGCACTTTGGGAGGCCGAGGCGGGTGGATCACCTGAGGTTGGAAGTTCGAGACCAGCCTGACCAACATGGAGAAACCCCATCTCTACTTTAAAAATAAAATAAAATAATAATTAAAAAATTAAAAAAAGAATTTAACAAGTTAGGTTTAAATGTAGCCATTTGAATTCATAAGAACAAGTGTTTCCTCTCTAAAAATATGTTTAAAGTCTCACACAAAACTCTAAACCAAAAATCATTGTAAAAATTCCTTGGGAACAGACTGTTGTAGCCATTGAGGTGAGGTGACAGGTTAAGGTGAGCATTCTGGACATATAATATAAGATAATAAATATTCAAAGCACAAGGGAGGTATAATATGAAGAGTAATTTCCATCTCCCTAAGCCAGTTTTGAGTTTTGTTTGTTTTTCTTTCGAAACAAGAGTCTCATTCTGTCACCCAGGCTGGAGTGCAGTGGTGCAATCCCAGCTCACTGCAACCTCTGCCTCCCAGGTTCAAGTGATTCTCCTGCCTTAGCCTCCCAGGTAGCTGGGATTACAGGCGCCCGCCATTACGCTCGGCTAATTTTTGTATATTTAGTGGAGACAGGGTTTAGCCATGTTGGCCAGGAAGGTCTCGAACTCCTGACCTCAAGTGATCCGTCCGCCTCGGCCTCCCAAAGTGCTGGGATTACAGGCGTGAGCCACTGTGCCCAGCCCGAGGTTTTTTTTTAAAGCCAAAGAAAGAAGAGCAGTTTTGTGCACAAAAGCTACTATTTAGAGTTCCTTGAGGTTTAAACAGATAATTAATTTAATGTACTGACATGCAAAATTAAAATTTTACTTATGCCTTTTAATTTTTTTTTTTTTTTTTTTGAGATGGAATCTCGCTCTATCATCCAGGCTGGAGGGCAGAGGTGCGATGTTGGCTCACTGCATTCTCTGCCTCCCAGGTTCAAGCGATTCTCCTGCCTTAGCCTTACGAGTAGCTGGGACTGCAGGCGTGTGCCACCACGCCTGGCTCATTTTTTGTATTTTTAGTAGAGCCAGGGTTTCATTGTGTTAGCCAGGGTAGTCTCAATCTTCTGACCTTGTGATCTGCCAGCCTCAGCCTCCCAAAGTGCTGAGATTACAGCTGTGAGCCACTGTTCCCAGCCTATGCCTTTTAATTTTAAGCTGAACTTGCTACATTAAGAGTAGGATAATTTGGCCAGGCACAGTGGCTCGTGGCCTGTAGTCCCAGCACTTTGGGAGGCCAAGGAATGTGGATCACTTGAGGCTAAGGGTTTGAGACCAGCCTGGCAACGCTGGCATGGTAGAACGCTGTCTCTACTAAAAATACAAAAATTAGCCAGGCATGGTGGTGCATGCCTGTAATCCCAGCTACTCAGGAGGCTGAGGCACAGAATTGCTTGAACCTGGGAGGCAGAAGTTGCAGTGAGCCAAGATCATACCAATGTACTCCAGCCTGGGCAACACAGTGAGACTCTGTCTCAAAACACAAAAAAAGAATAGGCCGGGCACAGTAGCTCATGACTGTAATCCCAGCACTTTGGAAGGCCAAGGCAGGTAGATCACCTGAGGTCAGGAGTTTGAGACCAGCCTGGCCAACATAGTGAAACCCTGTCTCCACTAAAAATACAAAAAAAGGCCGGGCGTGGTGGCTCAAGCCTGTAATCCCAGCACTTTGGGAGGCCGAGGCGGGTGGATCACGAGGTCAAGAGATCGAGACCATCCTGGTCAACATGGTGAAACCCCGTCTCTACTAAAACTACGAAAAATTAGCTGGGCATGGTGGCGCGTGCCTGTAATCCCAGCGACTCAGGAGGCTGGGGCAGGAGAATTGCCTGAACCCGGGAGGCGGAGGTTGCGGTGAGCCGAGATGGCGCCATTGCACTCCAGCCTGGGTAACAAGAGCGAAACTCCGTCTCAAAAAAAAAAAAAAAAAAAAGTAACCAGTTATGGTGGTATATGCCTGTAATCTTAGCTATTCGGCAGGCTAGGACAGGAGAATCACTTGAACCCAGGAGGCAGAGGTTGCAGTGAGCCAAGATCCTGCCACTACACTCCAGCCTGAGCAACAGTGAGACCCTATCTTGAAAAAAAAAAGAATAGGGTGATTTTTATATAAAAACACTAACTCTCATTTGTTTTTGAATTAATTGCCATATTGAACAGATTAAACTCCTTTAAACTATTTGTTCTATTACAAGCATAATTAATACTCTCATAAACATTTCAAGCTCTCTTTAAAAATTTAATATGCTTGATTTTCTTTTTTCTTTTTTTCAATGTAGTTTTAACAGGCAGGGTCTCACTCTGTCACCCAGTCTGGAGTACAGCGATGCAATCATAGTTACTGTAACCTCAAGCTCCTTGGGATGCAGCAATCCTTCCACCTTAGCCTCTTAAGTAGCTGAGATTACAGGCATGAGCCACCTCACCAGCTGATTTTCTTTTTAAACACATTCAATACCTGACAGATCATGATTACACCCCTGCTTGGCCATGTCATCCTAGCGCCTAAAGCTCACTTGTAAACTGAAAATTAAATTTAAAGAGTGAATCAACTTCTAGCCAACATTCCAATATCATTCTCATACTTAATGAAATTATCCTACAACTTTGCTTAAAAGCATAAAACTACTATGTTAGATTCTCTTAAAAATTACAGTCACTATTTTATTTTATTTATTTATTTATTTTTGAGACGGAGTTTCACTCATGTTACCCAGGCTGGAGTGTAATGGCGCGATCTCGGCTCACCGCAACCTCCGCCTCCTGGGTTCAGGCAATTCTCCTGCCTCAGCCTCCTGAGTAGCTGGGATTACAGGCACGCACCACCATGCCCAGCTAATTTTTTGTATTTTTAGTAGAGACGGGGTTTCACCATGTTGACCAGGATGGTCTCGATCTCTTGACCTCGTGATCCACCCGCCTCGGCCTCCCAAAGTGCTGGGATTACAGGCTTGAGCCACCGCGCCCGGCCAACAGTCACTATTTTAAATAGCAAACAGACAAGTTACCCTGAACTTAACACCTGGTTTTAACAGGATGAAGTTGGTTTCCTTTGTCATTCTCATACTAAATTCTAAATCTTCCTGGTACTTAAGAATATTTACCCAAGGAAGGGGGTGAGATTTACCAGCTCAGGTACCCTGAGGTTACTGGCTTGAAAATTCAAGACCACAGCATGGTAAATTTTTGGTCAGAGATTCAACGTTCATACATAGGACTTGAAAGGTACATGCTACTCAAATGAGTAAATCCGCTTGAGTCCTATGTCAACAGGGACCCCATGTCCATCCTCTTCTGTCAAAATTGGCTTACAACCTACTTCTTCTGGGCCATTTTTCAGGTTCTAACAATTGATTGCTGATTGCTTTCAGTTAATTTCTTTCTCTTTTTTTGGGGGGGGGATGGAGTCTCACTCTGTCACCCAGGCAGGGCAGCGGCGCAATCTCAGCTCACTGCAGCCTCAGCCTCCCAGGTTCAAGTGATTATCCTGCCTCAGCCTCCCGAGTAGCTGGGATTACAGGCGCCTGCCACCGCGCCTGGCTAATTTTTATAGTTTTTAGTAGAGATGGGGTTTCACCATGTTGGCCAGGCTGGTCTTGAACTCCTGACCTCGTGATCCACCCGCCTCAGCCTCCCAAAGTGCTGGGATTATAGACGTGAGCCACCGTGCCTGGCATCAGTTAATTTCTTTATTGCCCAGTTGAATTCTGCATTCTTCCAGGTTCGTTTTGTTCTTTCAGCCTTAATTATAGAGTACCATTTCATGACAGTCTCATATCCTATTAGACTAGGGTTTCTGAACCTTGGCACTATTGACATATTGGGTCAGATAATTCTTTGTTGTAGGGGGCTGCCTCATGTATTATAGAATTTAGCACCATCCTTAGTTCTGCCTGCTAGAAGCCAGTAGCACTTTGTGCATTCTCCCTGCCCACTGCCAGCTGTGACAACCAAAATGTCTCCGGACATTACCAAATGTCCACTGAGAGGCAAATTCACTCTGAGTTGACAACCCCTGTATTAAACCATGGATCCTGCACTTCTTACATACTTTTTTCTGGCCACCAGTTGAAAGTCCTTCTAATGGCAAAGCAGAAAGGTAGGCTAAGATCATCCTGTGAACTATCTTGAATGCCATGCTAAGATTTGTACTTAATATCATAGGCAGTGAAGAGCCATGGATAGTTTTTAAAGGGGCTGACCTGCTAACTCTGGTGGTTCATTAGGCATGCTATATACTACATGCACAACACATTTGGGAGGAAGGGAACAGGGGTCAGAGAAATCACATCACTTGCCCATATTACATAGCTTATCAGTGGTAGAGTCAGGGTATGATCAGAAACTCATGCTCCTCCTTCTGCCTTTCCCCCGCACAGAGTTAGAGCAGCACTGTTCACCCAGCTGGTATCCCCATTTCGTGGTAAAGCCTGGAAGCCTCGGTCTGACTGCTGTTTGTTGAAATACAGACTGTGGCAGCAGACTGCAGGATGGCTTTGTAACACAGAGGGTGAGGGCCAAGAGAGAGCTGCAGTAGGAAGACTGTTAAGGTGCATCTCTTATTTTCTAGGTGGGGCAACTGCAGCTCTCCCACAATATGAGTTTGGTGATCCTGGTACCCCAGAACCTGAAACATCGTCTTGAAGACGTGGAACAGGCTCTCAACCCCTCTGTTTTCAAGGCCATCACGAAGAAGCTGGAGATGTCCAAGTTCCAGCCAACTCTCCTATCTCTGCCCCGCATCAAAGTGACGACCAGCCAGGATATGCTGTCAGTCATGGAGAAATTGGGTGAGCTCTGGCAGCTTGGGATTATGCCCAGGCAATCAGAGGAGAAAGGGGGATCCCTAAGATGCAGTTAGCATTCTCTAGAATATTTTTTACATCCATAATCTTGTTTGTCCTGAAATCCTGCAAGTTAGAGGCGTAGGTGCTATTATCCCATTGGATCATTGTGGAAATGGAGGCTCAAAAGCTTTATGTGACTTACTCAAAGATTCCATGATTTATCCTCGAGCTAGTCAGAGGCAAACCAGAACACCGGTGCAGGTCTCCAGCCCTTCTGAGTTTTTTCTTTTTCTTTTTTTTATACTCTGTTGCCCAGGCTGGAGTGCAGTAGCGTGATCACTGCAACCTCCACCTCCTGGGTTCAAGTGATTCTCCTGCCCCAGCCTCCTGAGTAGCTGGGATTACAGGTGCCTGCACCACACCCAGCTAATTTCTGTATTTTTAGCAGAGACAGAGTTTAATTGTGTTGGTCAGGCTGGTCTCGAACTCCTGACTCGTGATCCGCCCACCTCGACCTCACAAAGTGCTGGGATTATAAGCGTGAGCCACCGTGTCCAGCCTCTCCTGAGTTTTTTCAGTGGTTCCTTGTGACATAAGCAGTGGGACAGTGGGACAGGTAACCAAGGTGAATTATGGATGTCTTTCCCCAGAGACGTTGCATAACAGTCAACTACGCCATGGCATATGCAAGCAGCTGTTAGGAAGTGCAGGTCTGGAGGCTTCTGAGTTTACGAGAGGCAACAGAGACTCCATTTTCTAAATTTTGTTTTTGTTTTTTTGGTTTTTTTCTTTGTTTTTGAGACAGAGTCTCACTCTGTCACCCAGGCAGGAGTCCAATGGCATGATCTTGGCTCACTGCAGGCTCCACCTCCCAAGTTCAAGCGATCCTCCTGCCTCAGACTCCCAAGTAACAGGGATTACAGGCACCCACCACCACGCCCAGCTAATTTTTTTGTTTTTTAGTAGAGACAGGGTTGCACTATGTTGGCCAGGCTGGTCTTGAACTTCTGGCTTCAAGTGATCTGCCCACCTCAGCTTCCCAAAGTGCTGGGATTACCGGCATGAGCTACCATGCCCAGCCTCATTTTTTAACCTTATATCTCATGTCCAGCCCTGTCACTTCACTTCCTGTTAGAGAACTTGACCACCTAACACTTGATGTCATTTCCTTGTATATGCCTTCTGTATAGGAAAACAAACCTCTTTTTTATTTTCATTCAACACTTCTGGCCACCAAATAGGTGTGGGAGTGTTTTCCAAGCAATTCTGTAGTTCTCAGGGGACACAAACTGCGCGTCCTACAATTGAATCCAATTCTAATGCTCTCTACCTGGAAATAACATCAGATCCCACAGTTTAAGGGCTCAACCCCACCAGATTTCCCCCCGTTTTTGATGTCAGTTGCAAGACAGGGTTGTCACTTGTGCGTCAGACCAACCAGCTGTAATTTGGAGATTCCCACTCCCTGCTAGGGTTTCATCATTTGCTAGAATAGCTGACAAAACATTAAGACACTTAATGTTTACTGGTTTATTATATAAAGGATTAAATAAAGGATACAGATGAACAGCCAGATGAAGTGATGCATAGGGCAAAATCTGGAAGGGTCCTGGGTGCAGGAGCATCTATCCTGTGGAGTTTGGTTTGCTGCCTTCCTGGTACAAGTATGTGTTCACCAACTGGAAGCTCTCAGAACCCTGTACTTTAGGAGGCTTATCATATAGGCATGATTGATTATTACTCAGTCTCCAGCTCCTCTCCTCTCCCCAGAGGATGGAGAGTGGGGCTGAAAAAGTTTGAAGCTTCTAATCATGGCTTTGTCTTCCCGGTGACCAGCCCTCATCCGGGAGCCAACAGAACTAGCCTCATTAACACAAAAGGCATTCTTTTTTTTTTTTTTGACGGAGTTTCACTTATGTTACCCAGGCTGGAGTGCAATGGCGCGATCTCGGCTCACCGCAACCTCTGCTTCCTGGGTTCA